TTTATAGAAAACACCTTTTTAAAAATTAAAGGGCCTCGAGCGGGTTCGAACCCACGACCTTTTAAGGTGGCTACTAGAGGGAAGAATAATTAAAAAAAACCTTAATATCTTCATAAAATTCGTCCTCAAAAGGCGCTCCCCAAATAGATTGACCGCCAGAACCTCGATTTGTTGGATCACCGCTTTGGACTAAAAAGGACTTTATATTGCGATGAAAAATACAATCATTGTATTGTCCACTGGCACATAAGGCGAGGAAATTCTGAAGTTGAGAAAATTTTAAAAATTATTTTTAGCAGGAAAATTTTGCTGGGGGTGTCAATGCTCGGGGTTTCAGGGCCCTTAAATTTTAAAAATTGATTTTCCATCATAAGGTCTGAAGTGAGTGATCAAAAATTTTCGATAAAAACTTTAGGAATGGACGTCAATTTTAATAATTTTTGTACAAAGTATTTTGGTTAAGTGGGATAAGGTGTTGAAAAAGGACAATGGTTCGAACAAACTGAGGGCCAGTTAATTTTATAACTGAGGTTTCGCTAAAAATTTAACTTTAGTAAGAATTTAGGAATAATTGGAAAAGAACTTAATTTTATTTTTATATTTATTAGTGGAACAATTTATTTAAATCCAAGCAGAAAAATTCCTTTTTTTAACACCTTTTTAACACCTCAGCTAAAAATCACCCAAAAATATTAAAATTTTAAAAATTAAATAAAAAAATAACCTCACTACTCTTTGGACACTTTTCACAAAACAATTCAATTTTTATATTTCCAGCAGTTGTATGTAAAGTCACCGACATTTCTCTTCTTAAGTCCTTTAACTTGTTAAATTTAAAATTTTTTAAAAATTAAAAAATATTAGATAAATTCTGATATAAAAATGTAATTTAAACAAAAAGAAAAAATATTTTCCATCATTTAAAAATTTATAAAATATTTTTAAATTAAAAAAAAAACAAAACAAAAGTTACTTGGAGAGGTAGAGAACTACATTATTTTAAACCCCGTAACTTAGACATTCTTAAAAGTCATTCTTCATCAGGCGATTCAACCAAATAAATGTGCTTAATGTACCTTTTTGCAATCATTGCCATTCCAACCTTAAAAAAGTTTTCAGGTACATATAAAAAATTAATTTAATAAGAAAAGATAGTCCCAGATCCACTGGAGTGTTGGAGGGGGGATACTAATAAATCCGAGAACTCTAGAAAAGGTACGGAGCGCCGTGTGTTTAAAAGGCTGGAGCTGATGGGGGCTGTAGGTCTCTTAAAATGGGGAAAATGATAGGAGGCAGCAACTGGTCGTTCGGTTTCGTTAGAAACTCAGCTCGGAGAGCTCTTTCAAACAAAATACATATCATTTGCCTTTCGAATTCTTCACTCCAAAATGAGCTTGCCCCAACCCTCCCCCTAAGGTTTTTCGATTTTCAGGGTGTATGTATCTCGAAGTCTGCCCCCACCTTTGGTACCGTTCCATTCACTTCGAGGAGTTGACAATGAGTCAATTTTTCTCCAAGAAATACTAGACCCCACCAAAAATTAAAACACGGAACGGAGGAAAAGGCGTTTTGGACCCCAAAAATAATCCCAAAAAATATTTAAAAACCTTCCTCATAGGCGACAGTTCCTTTTTCCTCCCAAAATTCGTCTCAACTTCTTCAACTTCCTCCTTTTGTTTCCCTCCTTTTTTGTTTCTTTTCTTTTGTTTTTTGGTTTTTAAAGAAGATTCGTTTGACTCCAAATTGTTTTGAGCGGACGGAGACTGTGAAATTTTGTCTTTTTTGACACTTTTAATCCAATATTCACGAGAATCTCCCTTAAAATTTTTTTTTAAATTTCAAAAAAAAATTTAAATTAAACCAAAATAATGTTAGATTGATTGTCTACACATAACAAAATGCCTTGGTAAACACGGCCGTCAATCACTAAAAAAATAAAAAAAAATAAATTAAACCCTGTTCGGAACTTTTAATGAAAAATATTCACAAAAAAATTGTCCGCAAAAGTTATCCGCAACTTTAAAAAGCAAGGAACCTGAATTTGAGAGAAAAAGACGAAAAATAAAAAATAGCAGCGAAAAAAGTTTGATAGAAAAATTTTCAAAATCCGCAAAAATTATCCGCAAAATTAGCGGTTAAATCTTGTAAGTAAATAGCCCCAGCCCTTACCTAGAAAATAAACTTGATACAAATAAAATAGGTCATATACACAAAAAAAGTCCCTCAAAATTATAAATTAATAAAAATTTTCAGAAAAAAATCTAATTTCAAAAAATCCGTAAAAAATTTAACATAAGAAGGAACCAAAGGATCTCTCCTTATAGCTAACTCAAAAGAGTTCATTTAAATGTGTTCAGGATACTAGAATATGCCGAGGACATCAATAAAAAAAGATAAAGGCAGTCCGAAAGAGAAAAAAGTCCGCAAGAAAAAAATTTGTCCGCAAAGTCCGCAAAATTAAAATCGTATTTTTGCGGATCAAATCAATTTTTCTAAAATTCCCCTCCTAATCAACCTCCCTCCTTTTAATTTAAACAAACCTACATACATTCAATACGCAATATTTGGTCAATCCATCCATAAATTTGCCGTTCCTTGTTGGTCACAAATTTAGTATCAGGCAAAGATGCAGAAGTAGTTAGGCTTTCTTCTTGGTCAAGTTGACTATTATTGTTGTTGTTTGTATCGACCATTTTTACTTTAAATTTTAAACTGAAATCCGAAAAAAAAAATTTTTTATTTATAAAATTTTTAAATTCACAAAGAAAGGCCATATAATCGCAGTGACACTTATCGAGGGTAAGCCCAATTAGGCGCGCGGCCATAACGGCGCAAAGCCATAACTTGCTTCATGATTTCCAAATTTTACCAAATTTGGTATTAAACGATTCCCCAAATCGAGCTAAAGAGAATGGTACCAAAATTAATAGGATCCAGAAATTTACACGCTAGTTATGGCTTTGCGCCGTTATGGCCGCACGCCTATTTGGGCGTATCCCAATTATCGACGCCCCCTTTTAAAAAGCTCCCATAAATGTTTCTTTTCACTTAATTTGTAGCTAATTTTCTTTCAAGTGAAAAATTTTTATCAAAAAATTTCTATCAAATCCAAAATAGACATCCCTTTAAAAGTTATAAGTCTGCGATTAAGCGGCCTTGCGACAAAGAGGGGGGGTATTCCACGGAAAATCCAGTTCAGTGAAAAATCCGACGGTAAATTGTCCCATTTTTCGATTAATATTTAATGAGAAAACGTTAACGAGAAGCAATGACCTTGACCAGTAAAAAAATAAAAAATATTTAAACATCTCAAGAAAAATTTTATTTGAATCAATTTCGATTTAAATTTTCCTGCCTATTTAATTAATTAATTAAACTTAAATTATTCTATAATTAAAAATCAGAATTTTATTTAAACTTGAATTCTGTTCAAATCAGAATTCTAAATGCTTAAACCAGAATTTTATTAAATCAGAATTAATTAAACTTTAATTCTTATTAATTAAATCAGAATTATTAATTAAGACGAAATTAAAAGTAAATTCTGTATAAATCAGAATTTTCATTTAAACTTTAATCTTATTAGTTATAACAGAATTATACCAGAATTATTATACCAGAATTATTAATTTAAACCAGAATTTTTATTTAAATCAGAATTAAAAACTTCAATTTTATTAAATCAGAATTATAATTAAATCAGAATTTTCAATTAAACTTATTAGTTAAAAAGAATTATACCAGAATTTTTAATTTAAACCAGAATTTTTAGTTAAATTCTGATTCTGTAATTAAACCAGAATTATTAATTTAAACTTGAATTTAAATCAGAATTAAAAACTTTTATTTTATTAAATCAGAATTATAATTAAACCAGAATTTTTAAATTTAAATCAGAATTTCCAATTAAACATATTAATTTTCCCTTGCAAAATTATCAAACAAATTTACACTAATTTTTATTTTATTTTTTCTAACAAATCATTGCAAAAATCAAATAAATTGGACAATTTAATGGAACCAAAAAAAAATTATTTTTCTCCGATAAAATTACCCAAAAAATAGATAAAGATTTTTATCAATTAGTTATTGTTATTTTGTTTTTATTTACTAGCTATTTATTTTTAAAAAATGATGGATGCTTCTTTTTATTCCGGTAATTTTTAGCTTTTAATACAAAAAAAAGAATTTGTTTCCTCCTAATAGTACATATTATTTTTTTATTAAAAATTCTGATTTTAAGTTTAATTATTAAGTTTAATTATTAATTCTGATTTAATTCTGAATAATAATTCTGATTTATTTTATTAATTAAAAATTCTGATTTAATTATTCTGATTTTATGTTTTATATAATTCTGATTTATATTTTAATTCTGTAAAATAAATTCTGATTTAAATAGCGTTGAGTTTATTTGTTAGAATTCTGATTCTGGTTTTATTAACACTAAACTAGTAACTCTTAATTCAAGTTTATTTATTAAAATTCTGATTTATAGTTTATCCAAATAAAATTATACTATTTCTTATTTTTAATTCTGATTTTTTAATTCTGATTTTTAAATTCTGATTTTTAATTCTGATTTTTTAATTCTGATTTTCAAATTCTGATTTTTAATTCTAATTTTTAATTCGGATTTTAAATTCTGATTTTTAATTCTTATTTTTAATTCTGATTTTTTAATTCTGATTTTCAAATTCTGATTTTTAATTCTAATTTTTAATTCGGATTTTAAATTCTGATTTTTTAATTCTGATTTTCAAATTCTGATTTTTAATTCTAATTTTTAATTCGGATTTTAAATTCTGATTTTTAATTCTTATTTTTAATTCTGATTTTTTAATTCTGATTTTTTAATTCTGATTTTTTAATTCTGATTTTTAATTCTAATTTTTAATTCGGATTTTAAATTCTGATTTTTAATTCTTATTTTTAATTCTGATTTTTAAATTCTGATTTTTTAATTCTGATTTTAAATTCTGATTTTTAAATTCTGATTTTAATTCTGATTTTATATTCTGACTTTTTATTCTGACTCTTTAATTCTGATTTTCTATTTCGGATTCAAGTTTATTTTTATTTATTTAAATTTCAGAAGAAAAATCCCCTTATCGACGCCCCAACAAAATGGAAGCAGAAACAATAAAAAATAAAAAACAATTTGAAACTAAAATAAAAAATGTTAAAAATTATTCCCCAAAGGAATCAATATTCTCTCGATTATCGCATGTTTTGGGTGTTATTTTAATTCTTTTATTTGTTGGATTACCCAAAGATTTGTGGAGGTGGTTGCGATTAAGGCGTAAATGTGTACGGGGGAAGACTGTTGTTATTACTGGTGGAGCTTCGGGAATTGTAAAATTTGATTAAATAAAAATTCAGATTTTTAAAAAATTCTGATTTTTATTTAAAATTCTGAAAAATTAAAAAAAAATTTTCCTTAAAAAAGATATTTTATAAAGGGCAAACGCTTAGCTGAGTTATTCTCAGAACCTGACAAGTTGGGTGCTCAGGTTGCTATAATTGATAGAAATTTGGTAATAAATAAATAAATATAAATAATTATTTAAAATTAAATTTCAGAATTTCTGAAATTTTTAAAAAATAATTCAAGTTTATTTTTAGTAAATTCTGATTTATTTCAAGTTTTATTTCAAGTTTGTTTAAAATTCTGAAATAAAATTCTGAAAAACAGCTTATCGAAAATTCTGATTTATTAAAGTTTATTTACTAATTAAAAATTCTGATTTAAAGTTTATTTTCTATTTAAAATTGTGATTTTTTAAATATTCTGATTTTTAA